GCAGAGGGCCCAGCAGAGGCTTCTGTCCTTTCCACTGGGGGGTGGTACCCACAATGAAAGTCTGCTGTTCCCTACCTGGTGCCCTGGACAGAGAGAGGCTTCTAGTGAGCCTTCTGTACCAAGGTAAAGAGGCCAGCAAGGATGTGGACATCAGCTGTGACCTGAGACCTGAGACCTGTCTCAAGACCAGACTTGAACTCTCCTGTGCTTCCAATGTGAATTGTGACAACTGAAGCTAAATGAACCATATAACAGGCCTGAATTCTTGGGGGTGGCGATATGGGGGAATGAAATTCCCAACCTGAAAGGTACCTAGGATGAGTTTGTGTTCTCTAAAACCAAAGAATGAATTTTAGGAACAAATGGAGGTGAAGAACAGAATATATTTATTGGAGGAAAGAAAGCTTCTGTCTGAGAGGGACAGAAGGGGAGCCTAAGTGGCCTGTCCCCAGGAAGCTGTCTCTCCCAGGGATTCTTATAGAGTAAAATCATGTGATGAGGCAGGTCTAAGATGGAGAACATGGGAACTTGCTTAGGTGGGCATGAGATGGGACAAAACTATGGTCAGCCAATGATATTATTATATGCACCATTGCTCAGGTAAAGTTGATTAAATCCAGGATCAAATAAGGAAGCGAGTCATTCATAGCAAGTGGGCATAAATACCAAACAAGGGCTCTTCCTTTTGGGATTGGGTCAGTGACTCTTTCTGGCTCTGTCAAGGTGATTGATACCTCTTTAGTGATAGGTTTTCAATTGGTGTTGCAGCAGAGAAACAGCCAGAAGGAAAAAGGGAAAGGGGCTTTATTATCTTGGAGGACAGGAAGGGAATCTGGGGAAGATAAGGAATTCTCTGGATTGGAACAAAGGGAGGCGGAGGCTTTTATGGCTTTTTGTCAGGGGTGGGTTTGGGGGGATGTTTAGATAGACCTAAGTATTAAGGGAAAGTAGCTGCAAATCTATCCTATTTTGCATATACAGATACAAAATATACTAATAGTATTTGGACAGGATATCATGTCTGCATCTTGTACTATGAATAACTATTATGAAGACAACGATGTGCAAAGTATTAATTATTGTAACTGTCCTAACCTGTTTTGAAACTGTCTCACTGTTGTTTCTCAATAAAACTAATAAAAAAACCCAAACTATCCTGTATATATAAATAAATAAATAAATATACCTGAGGAGCTAATTGGGGTTTTCCCTGAGGTGGCAGGAAAGGTGAAAGGAAATTGCACCCTGGGCTGAGTTGGAGAGGCGGGGAGGTGGTCTCTGGGAAGGTAAGCTGTTTTTTTAAGGGCTTCAGCCACATTAGATGACCACCATAATAATTCAGCAATTCATACTAGGGCTGTAACCTATCATTCTCATCTTTTGGTTGTTATAAAAGGGGCAACATGTCTTTTAGACTGCTTCCTGCTGCACTGGGGTGTTGTCTTGGAGATGAGGGGAGTTGACCGGTGCATGCCCATGTAGAAGTTAGGGCCAGGTGTCTCAGCTAGGACTAGAAGTTTATCATTAGTGAAGGCTTGCATCGGAGACTGAAGAAACCTTGCAAAAAGTTTAAATATATGGTATGTTATGAGTGCATGTCATCATGATTAAAAGACTCAGGAGGAGAAGCAAGAGGGAGCCTATCATCTGAATGTGTCATTTTATCATGACCATGTTGAAGGAGTATCGATCTTTAGTCTTTGATATCAATATGAGGAAAGGGAGTAGGGGTCATCTGTAGGACCTCGACACAACTGTATTGAGGGGCCTCATCAGAGGTATAGAATAAGATGGCAGGAGTGAGAGGGCTATAAGTGGAGGAAATAGTGATAGAAGGATCCTCTATGAACATGATGTGGATTTGCTGCATATGAGGAGTAATTAGGGCTGGAATTGTCTTATGTGTGATGAGCTCACTAAGGTGATGGGGTGAGTGGACTGAGATAGATTTTCCAAAAGTGAACTTTTTGTCTCATGTTAGTGCATGACTAGACAGGTGCAGAGCACAGGTGCAGGGGTCCCTGAAGGCTTGGAGCTGGAGGACTCAGAGGGGGCTGGCTGCTCTCGAGGGACTGACTACAATTTTCTGAGACCCTCTTGGAATGGCAAAACCAGTAAGATTGGGCACCCGTTGAACTACAGATTTTTACTCTTGGTCAACCACAGAAGATAAACTCAAATCAGAGATCAGGAGATAAATTCTACCCTCAGGGCCAAGAGGTTATAGATCCAGCTTGTTATGACCAACAAGATAGACGAATAGAATATTCACCTGTTTTCTGGGAATGGGCAGGGATCTTCCTGGGAACTCAGGTGATTTCTTTCTTTTTTGAAACAGGATCTTGCTATATAGTTCAGGATGGGCTTAAACTCATGGCAATCCTTCTGCCTCAGCCTCCCTAACGCTGGGACTGCAGCTTGTACCACCAAGCCCTGCCCTCTATTCCTTTTAAGAGTCTTTACCACGGTTGTCATGGCAACTGGGAACAGTCAAGGCACTGGGGTGTGCCTTTACCTTGCAGATGGGATCATAATGAATTGTAGATGGGATCATAATGAAATTAGGGGCTGTCAGAGATCTCTTTTGCAATGATCCTAGATCTAACAAGTTTCTGCAGGTCCACTTGCAGAGGGACCTCTGGCCTATGGGCACCTTGTACTCAAATGTGAACCAGATTAGGGTAATTAGAAATTCAGCTCCCTCAAGCAGGTGGAACAAGGTAGGAGCAGGTAACAGATCCAGGAAAGTGCAGACAATCCTCTCCCTTCCAGGAACAATTCCCAAATCCCCACTCTGCCCCTGCTATGGATCAAGGTTCCCTCAGGACTTAAATGATACTTCCAATAATAATATAAATTTAAGGTAATTTTGAGGGTTTTTTTGTTTGTTTTCTTTTTTGCATTTAGTACAGGGTTTAGAGGATTTCACTACACAGATCGGATCCTCCTGTTTTCAGTCTCCCAAGCGCTGGGATTACTGGTGCACGCCACCACACCCAGTCTCAGTTGCCCTCTCAGCATGTCCCAGGGGCACAGCTATCACGGCATTCCTGGGATTGAATCCTGGTCCCTGAGCCTGCCTAAGCAGGTGCTTTAGTCTGCTAAGCTATCTGGTCAGCCCTTTGAATTTATTAATGTGGTTAATGCACATAAAGATGTTCTACAGACACCTGGGACACTCTGTCATCAGCTAGCAAATTGCTTCTGCAATAATGGAAATCAAAACAGGTGATGGGCATGAATTTTATAGGCAAAAGCTCTACATGAAAAGTAAGAGGGGCTGGAGAGATGGCTCAGTGGTCTAAAGCACCTACTTGAAACAAGCTTGGCAAAGCACAGGGACCGCGGTTCGATCCCCAGC